ATATTAAAAAACAAAAAACAAAAAACCCACTGCATAAACAAACAAGGATGTAAGGTAACTGTTGTGGGTATTGTGCTTCCCTTTCCTCCCCTTTACCTTTGTTAAGTGACAGGAATGAACATTCATGGTGAACAAACTACCCTGTAACCTCTCATTTTCAATGAATTTTGAAAAATTACAGGCTTGTAATTTTGAGAGCAGGTAGGTGGCTTTGATGAAAGTTATTAGCAGAGAATCAAATCCTATGGCTTTGCAGACTCATCCTTATGTAAACTCATCCCTGCCATGAAGTTCAATCCATAACACATTGTTCCCTTTAGACATGCCTAAAAGAGTACTTCACCTTTTTGAAAAAATTGTCCTTACATCCCTGTAATTATCTAACTCTTCTGTGTAGATACAGCTCTATATATGAAATAATTTGTAAAAAGATAAATTATGCTATTTTCAAAATACTCTGAGATACAAAGTTGTGCAGGTGCAAGTTTGATAGTATATTGCTATAAAGACTAAGAATTAATTAATTAGTGTTATCTGAGTATATATTCTTTAAGCTGGGAGTATAGATTTAATATTGCAGAGTTTTGTTTTTGCTTTTTTACATTTCATAGCATTTCATACCTTCTTCAGACTATATCCATGTTTCTATCAAATTCCTTCTATTTTTTTTTTCAATTTCTGATCCCTTAAAGGTACAGTAGCTGATCACACATTCATGCTTGTCACTAATGTATTTCCATAACTCTGGAGGACTGAAAAACTTCTTTTCATTTCCACCTAAACACAGTCATTTCTTCTAAGTGAATAGCGAGAGGCTTCTGGCAAAAATCTTTCCCCCGCTGAAATTGATGGAACCAACTTTTCAGCTTCACCCTTTAGGTACTCTGCTCTTCTAGGCTTACAGCATCGTGGAGCAAAGCCCCAAACAAACTGTGTGTATGCACAGTTACTGAGGCTGTTAGTATTCATGGAGCGTAGCACGGAAACCAAAATCAAATGTTCTCATTGGTATTTCTACATTTACATACAAAACTACTCACAGTGCTGTGAAATACTGACAGAGAAGAAAACAGAACAGAAGTGTTTAGGTTTTGACTACTCTCCACGCATTCCTCTGACCTAACTATAAGAAAGCCAGGTGACCAGCTTGCTTCTACTAGACATACTCTTTTCCTGCTAGTCTCTTACGCCAGCTGACAGCATCTCTAAATTAATAAACATCAGTGATTCGGCCTAAAATGGAGCATGTTGCAGCCTGTGTCATTGACCTTGTTCACTCTGCATTCCAACACGATGCAATAAATTACCACTGCAGAGAAAAGGATGGAAGAAACTGAATCGCTACTACCGCCGGTGTAGCAGAAACGAGTTACTCGCCTAAGTAAAACCGTGCGTATCTGGAAGGCGAAGGAAGGCTCGGGTTCATTACGCTGTTTGGTCTATCTGCAGGACAGCTGCTTGGGTTGTTTCTTCGTCAGATTGTTCCGTTTCTCCGCCGACTGGGTTTTTTCTTTCATCATACAGTTTCTGGCTAGAAACTTCTAGAGGCATCCCATACTCTTCGTCATCTTCAACAATGGACAGCTCGATGTTGTTGTTCATCATGGCGTTCCCTTCCATTCTGGCTTTCTTCTCTAGAGAATCGGCTACGGCTTTGCCCTCCTCGGTCAGCGAGGTGGTAGGTGTCATATCCGAGTGCATGTCGGCGAATGACGTTTCATCCTCGTTCTCAGCTTGGTCGTTGCTTGTGGTTTCTGTTGGTCTGTCCTCAGCTTCAGCAGGGCTTTCTCCTTCGCGGGCTTTCTTCACGTTGAACGTGAGGGGAGACACTTTGAAAGCCGAACTCTTTGAAGAGGAGGATTTCTGATGATGGACAGTAAGCGATTTCTTGATCTTTTCTCTCCGTTCAGGCGAGACAATCTTTGTGCTGATCTTGTTCATCTTCTTCTCGATGTTTTGGCGGGAAAATGCTTTCTTGAGGCTGTCTACCTTCTTGAGGCTGGATCTTTTAATTTTCTCAGCTCTTGATTCTTCTGTTTTCTCCTCTGCGCTGTCATCCACGTCATCTTCCTCGTGAAACATTTCATCATCTGAACACAACTCCACTGTGTGCAAGGTTTCTTCCAGTGATTTGTTCTCATCCACAGGCTCCTCTGTTCCTTCTGTAATGCTGGGAACAGGCTCTTTTGTAAAAACACTGGCAGGGATCTCATTTTCCTCCTGAAAGAATTGACAACATTTGAGTTTCATAGTTCACAGGACACAAATTTAATAAACAAAGCACAACCCTGAACAATTACTTCCCCCCCCCGCCCCATGATGAGATGCAGGATGCTGAACATTTCGTGTTGTTTCAGTGTATTTAACCAGTAACAAGCCACTCAAAGCCCACTGAACCATTATCTGGTACAGTTTAAAACTAATGAGCTGTCAGCTGTAAGATTTCTCTTTCAGAGTGACTTGGAAGGTATACAGAATGGAAATCCCGTTCTTTGTCATTTAGATTAGATACTCTTATTAAAGAGTTTAGCTGTAAGTTGTACACCTGGGGAGAAGGGATGGTATGGTGGCTAAGGAGGTCGTACTACAGACTCCTGTGCAGACCTACAGAAGTCATGTAACCCCCAGAGCTTTCAGTTTCTCTAGTCAAAGATTGGGAATATCTCTGCAGAGACGTTGGGTGCACCTGAGAGGTACCTTAGATGGCAAATGCAGTTAGCGCTCCCACTCTATTTCAGAGAAACCTATGTTGCTGTTAAAACTGGATTGTCGGTACTGAGAAGCCATGCAGTCTATGCTGTTTATGTGCTATTTCCCATCTATTTACAGCACAGGAAAAAAAATGGTAAATTTCGTTGGTAAATTGGTAAATATTAAAAATATGGACAGGGCAACTCCTTGAAATAGAATAAAAAAAGAAGTTTATGGTATACAAAAATAACCAGACATTATACCACATAGAAAACACTAGTAGTCACTTCTAGCTAAGAGGAAAAAGATTGCTTTTTAGAAACAAAACCAAGAAAGGGCATGGAAAGAAAGAAGGTAACTGAAAACAAACCAGGCTGAACAAGGGCAGAAGCTGCAACTCGTAACGAAGGACCTCTGAGACTGCCGAGCGCAGCAGCTCTGCAACACCGAGCAGTTCAGAGGCAGCACAATGAATGCTCTGTTCTGCGGTAGGTTTTGCAGGCATCTGCCCATGCAAAGAAAATGAGGCTCCTCGCACACTCCCTTTTCTTTTCAGAATCGTTACGCCTTAGATCTGCATATTCTCTATTTATTACCTTTTTTATCACCTTCAGACAGAGTGCATGCAATATCACCCAGTGTTACGGATCGGAAGGATTTTTTTTATTCCCCGCCCCATATTTCTCTTTAGATACAAAAAGCAGTAAGTGCTGAGTGAAATGGTTGTAATAGTCTCAGATCTGTCCCTAGTGGGCCTGAGCGTACAGCTAAGGGGAAAAAGGCCACATACACTTCGAAGTTCATGCTCATTATTTCAGGACTGAGCATACAGATGTGATCACTGGAGAGAATAGTGTCTCAAGTAAAATTTGCTGTCAAGACTGTATAAGCATGTCTTTAGGAGTACACCACAGTGCTTTGTCCATGGTTGTTTTTAACAAAATACTCCCAACTACCTTGTAGCGCTTCTATAACTCAAGAATATGCACGTGGACAGGCAGAATCATTTTATACCATACATACACAGTATATAATCATCTATACTGTGATTCAAGTGTGTTGATGAGTATCCCTCAGGGATATAAAAACGAAAAGTGCCAAAAAAATTGATGGCTGCTTGACAGTTTGTATGTGCTTTGCTTTTATGGTTTCCACACACCTTCCTGGACCAGCGGCCTCAGTCGGATACACTGGCACAGACAAAGGTTTCCAAGCCCTTTGCCTGCAGTGGAACATCTAATAAAGCCAGCGTTCTTCTCCCGACACCTATAATGTTGTTGCAACCATCGGCAACAGTGACCAAGATAACAAAACAAAGAAAACCTGCACCAGCTTTAAGTGAAAACAGCTGTAACTGCAGTACAAATATTTATATTTTCTCTCCACTGCAGTTAATGAAATGTGGATTACATGAGTGGGTGCAGTGTTAAATTATTCCCCAGAGCATGAGAACTCAGTATAAAGCATAATTTACATGTTTTGTACATTCTTTCCAAACCTAGGTAATCGCATACAGTTTTAAGCATCTCAACATTCAGGTGTAAGTGCCTGAATGGCATAGAAAGCTCTGATTTTAATGAGCAAAGACGGGTTGTAACTTTTAAGGTATTTAGTCTAGGAAAGTGGTGGTGTATGAGATTGATCACAGTGCAGTCTGATGGGCCTGCGTGGCTCATCTCAAGGTCAGTTTAGCTCTGTATCTACAGTATTCACATTAAACTGAAGTACTGCGTGCAGTCTCTAGAAGAATATGGACATAGATTTTTTTTTTTTGAGTAGAAGGGACACTGTCAAACTATCCATATTTATAAAGAAAAAAAAAGCAAACAAAAATACACTACATAATAATGAGCTAATGATTCAATTAAAAGCAGATCCTAGGTGGTCTTTGGCTATCAGACAATACTGGCATTCAAGAAATCACCTAAGCTTCCTGTATGGCCCTGGAAAACATCAGCCTCTGGGCATCTAGTACTCTGCTTGTAAAATGGGAATGACACGCTTTCCCATCTCACGTTTCTAAAAGACCTTAGGATCACAGGAACTATTAAAATGCAAATGAAAATAAATTAAGCAAAATGCTTTGGAAATACAAAGGTGGTATGGTAGGAATGCTCTGTGGTGGAACAGATGTTTCTGTTTCTAATATAGTTGCCGATAACATGTTTTAAGTGGGCTATTGGTAACTTTTCGGTCTAACAAGTTTGTTAGATATATTTTGTTTTGATACATTTTTCAAGCAGTCTAGTATTTCATTTAGGAAGACTAGAACAATACACTGAAAAATGCCAACTGTTACAATCTGCGTAAATATTTTCCGTGCCAAAAAAAGTAGAACTTTGATCTTTTCTTCTTGATCTAATCTAAAATTCTGAGAAAGCAATACATCTTTTTATTGTCCATATCCGAGTTCAAAGGCAGCACTTGCATTTTCTCAGATGAGCTTGACTGTAGGTAGCTAGCTCCTCTGAATTTTATTTTGTCCATGTAGGAGCCGAACAGACTTGTGCAAGTTCTCTGTGTAAAACAACTCTTGCTAATACTAGGAAAACTTGCAAAGTTAAAACCAGTGCCTTCCCTGTGGCTTTGATCAGCCATTCTCGGGAACTTTCTATAGGTCATAATCTCTACTCTATCTTTTACCAGAAAGGAAGATAAGATCTATAACAGTGTACTACAAAACCAGATGACCGGAGTGAACAGGTAGTTAATTTACTTGGGAGTGCTGAATCTCTGATGCCGCATAAAGGAAATCAGTGTGCTTTGGTTTGGATTTTTCTTAGATTTGTGGTAAGAGGCCATGGCCTTCAAGAAGGAGAGATGGCATTTTCCCATGCTTACAGCAGTCCAGGCTCCTCTGCACTTTGTCGATGCTGTTATATGCCTAAATGATTACTAGTCTAAAACTTGTTTTGCCACACAAAATAGGTCAAAAGATGACAAATCCTTCTAAAACCAGCTATAGTTCCACCTACTTTCCTTCAGACAAATAAATGCTCTTCAGACCTGGATGTCACCGCGGGGAGGAGGAGGGCAGGGAGCAGGCTGGGACCGCGGGCAAGGAGGAGAAAATTGCCGGCCGCCCACGTGCACGTCCTGCGCAGGCTGGGGCACTGGGGGTGTGGCTGCACCGTCCCCCTGGCCTCCCACCGCACAGCTGGAGCAAGTCCTAGGAGCCATGCGAGATACTTTAGTCATTAATCAATATAAAAGTATTCTCCCTGCAAGGCTCCAGTGGGAAATTTAGTAGTTAGGTAATAGCTTTAGCGGTTTGTAATTCTTCTGTTTCTCTCACTTGTTCACTTTTGAGTTTGGAGTTGCCTTTTCAAAAGATTATTACAGTGACCCAAACAACAAGGAACACCCAAATGGCTGATTTCCTCTGCCCTCCTCTTGCTTCACTTCAGGATGAAGCATTTACCAAGAGCAGCGTCTGAAAGGGGCTTGAATATCAGTGTGCTTGACCCCAAGCTGTAATTTTGACTTATTTTATAGTCCTATTCACTAGTAAACATGACATTTAATTGAAAAATTAAACATGAGCCTTTTTTATCTTGCATTTTGCTTCTGCAGCTAAAATAGCAAACAAACCCCCCACCAAACCAGAACCAAAAAGCTGGTCATGTGGCAAGAACAAAATAGAGGGGAACAATGCCAAAGCTTAACAAGGATTTTTAAAACAGTCACTTCAGTGTTTTGCTAAATTGCTGTGTCACTTGTGGCATTTGTAATAACTTTTGCATCCTCAAATGCTTGAAATGGAGCTCCATTAAAATATGTCACCAATTAAAGGAATATATGCAAACTAGGAACAATGCAGACAGTCTAAGGAGAGAAAACTAAGAGCATTCTAATGGAAAATATGTAAATAGCTGAACTTTTCTAAACACAGTTCATTCTCAGCGTGTACGCTGAGGGAAAGTTGATGCTGGCGTGTGGCAGCACCGTTTCATAAAATGCAGAGCTGGAGCTCAGTCATGCATTTTGGCTATGCTCAGTGCTCCCACCAAGTATCAGGGAGCTTGAGGTATACGGTGAATGCAGAACTGAATCACAATGTGTACTTTTATTTTCATACCGAGCTGTCTTCCTAAGCTGGAAAAGCAGATCCTAATGAGAACCATGCTGTGTGAAGTTTGGGATTGTTTTTTTTCAGTGGAAAAGAAGAATCCGCCAACTGAAGAGAAGTCTCATATATCCAGATTTCCCTTTTGAAAAATCTGGCATCAATATGGCTTCATTGCTGCGACTTCTCCTTCCTGCAATTGTTTTTCCATAGATTCCTGCTTGGGGCAGTACAGAAACCCTGTACTGGTTTTTTTCCCTCTGTACGGTTCTCCTAGCAAGGCTGTGGCCCTGCTGACTAGGAGGCCATCCCACCTCCGCCTTGTAAGGAGACCCCACAGGGAGATTTTGAGGAGGTGGGCTTGCAGGTAAGGCACCTGCCCAGGCTGGCAGCAGGCTTACGGGCACGGCCTCATGAGTACCCACCATCCCTGTGGGTGCGGCCGCATCCCCAGTGGAAAATCCCAGCTCCTCCCAGGCTCTGCTGGAGAAAGCCCTGGGCGGCCCTGGGCGCTGCCCCCCCCGGCCACCCTCCCACGCCCCGGGAAGCTCTGCTGGCCGCCCTGGTTTTCCAGACAGCCACGCTGCCTTTTAGCAACAGCCCAGTGCCAGGAGCAATTCCCAGTTGACAGCTGAATTTTTTTTGCTGAATTTTTTTTTCTGAATTTAATTGCAGCGTTTCTTTTCTAAGGCTTGTGTTCCTGATTCACATCGG